AACCAGAAATATTTCAATTTGTGATCTTGTTTTATTGATAAATCAACTAACTCCGTCCTTGTCATGATACTAGACCAGTTGAGAGTGAAATCAAAAAGGGAAATGTAAAATAGAAAAGCAACCAATTTCACAAGGTGTCTAAGAAGTCTTGCATCTTTATGCTTTTTAAAAATCAATTATGGAAATGTCGATAATAAAACCAGAACAGTATGAATTGAAAGAGAGATGTAGCTGAAACCCTGTTTTAGATGGTTTTACAGTTAGTGTATTTGTTGCACATGGTACTAATCGAGTCTCTACCATATATTGGACAAGATTGTCATCCTGTTCTCAAATCCTCTTTGCCAAACATGCCATAAGTTTACGACATATGAATACGTCCTAAGGGCATCTACTTCTAATGCAGATAATTGAATATGATAGGGAGAAAACAACAGCAGATTATTAAACATTCATAAGAACACTACAGCTGAAATTTCAATACACAGTAAACTAACGGACCGACACCGACACCAACACCTTCCTCCAGCAGAGTACCGAAAGAACGGATGAAATATCATGATGTGAAGAATGTCCACAACTTTCTACCAATCAACATTTCACCCGGATGCTCAGAATTGTCATCTATGTCGTCGTCTTCATCATCCACATTCAACGTGCTGTCTCGTTCATCCTCACTATTGTATTCTGGGGTAACTGTTAGTTATTTTTCATCATTTTACATGTGTTTAATTTTTTGTTTTGCGAATGATTTGCCGCCCGGATTAGTGTTTGCCGCTGCGCAACGGGGTTCGACCTGGGCGAATTCTCATTTGCAAATACATTAAACAATTTATTCTTCCTTCTTTCTCTTGGCATCAATCAATTATTTTCGAGTGTCTTCTTGGTTTGATCAAATAGTCACAATTTGAATCAAATGCTTCCATTGTATCTAGAAAGAGATTTTCTATCACACCCCAGTTGTGATTTTGTTGAATAGGGGAGAAATATCTCTTAAAAGATAACGTTTTTTCGTGCCTTGGAGTTCATCAACGTATTTAGATTTTCCTACATTATTATCAACAGTAACACCATTCTCAGCATCGGCATAGCCATCAATACAATCTGTCGTTGTCTATCACAGAAACAAAAGGTTATATTGAGACGGTAAAGTAAATTCAACAGTGACTAGAATGTCCAGGTTCAAAGATTTTACCATTTGAGTTTCAACATTTCTATATGATGTAATATCAATCAATGGTGTTGATTTTCATTCTCTCTTGCAATTTCCACGGTCGGCATAGAACTAAGTTCATTGTCTCGTGACGAAGTACATCACCACCAATTTCTTTCTCAGTTATCCTTTTGTTGTCCACGGAAGCTGATATGCCTCTGCCCACACGCCACACTGAGCAAAAATTACAACGTTTAAAGCGAGACTCTTTAAACATGATATGCTCTCTATTTTAAAAAAATCAACTCTTAATATCATACTTCTAGAGACTCTTTAAATTAATATTTTAATTAAATGTATTCAATTTTCAATGTAGGAAAATAATAAAATCATTTAGAGAAAAGCTACTTAGCATAAAAGATAGAGAAAAATAATAATTTTTTTTTGGGAATAGTAAAATTAAGTATTAAATATAAAGAGTTTGTTTGAGTACTTAAAAATTTTAACTCTCTAAATTTATAAATGCTCTCCAAATGATAGAATGTATTTTTAAAAAATAGAGAGTCTCTTGAAAATGCTCTAAGCAAGGATAACTAAAAATTACGTTTTAAAAGAGGAAACTGATAGTAAAAGAGCACATAATAATAACTTACTAATAGTTATTCAAGACTAATACATAAATATTTACAAAGTTGAAATTAATCAAATTCAATTACCAAATCAAACATCCATTATGATAAATATAGAATTTTATTGGAATCATACGACGAAATAATGCTATAAATCATAGACCTTGTTCAGTGAGAGAGTAAACAAACTAGTCAGACTCATTTTGTGGTTGGCTGTTCACTGCCTATGCGTGCCTACCAGACATATTTAGAACCCATTGTCACCCATCAAAGGTAATGTTATAAATTTTTCAATATAACATCTACTAACTTGAAGATATGCTTTTAGGATTTGAGAATCCGCTTACCCGGAGGTAGGCTTGGCAACCTTATCTATATATGGATATATTCTAATTATCAAATCCTAGTCAAATTATAAAATAAATCTTAAAAAATTTCTGCATCCGAAAATTGTAGATCAAATTTTTACTAACTGGAAATTCTTTCTGTTAGACATCATGTTGTCAAACGACCTCCCGGGCGATGATGTAAACCAATTTTATCAGTCGACATGAATGATTGAACGATAAATCAACACCGAATAATGGGATGACTTGACTTGACTTAACTTTGTTTTACCTATTGGATGGCTAATAAACTTTTGTGGCTTGTTGGTGTGCTATTGGGCCATAACCCTAGTCGAGCCCACTTACCTTATTGTTTGTCATTGGTTTACTATATATATTGGTAATTCTCGTAGCCTTCTAATGTCCCCTTTTTGTGAAAGAACCCGAGAGAGAGAGAGGTTGTCTTCTTCTTCTTCTTCTTCGTGCATTCTACTGCTTGATCTTTTCTACCTCTTGTTTGTGTCTTTGTGACCCTTACCTGTGTGGTATTCATTCTTTGTGAGTGAGCAAACAACAAGCAGAAGGAAGAAAAGCAACCATAGGTAGAACTCGTGGTCGGCGGCGGGTACCTTCGGTTTTGGTGTTGATTCGGCGTTTTAAAGGTTAACTGAGCCCGAAAATCATCTTGAGCAGCTAGAGGAAGATCCTAACACTTTCCATAAAATTGACCCACAAGTAGAATTTCTAGTCGTAAAACGAAAATGAAAACAAGCTACAAGGTATAATCATTTAAAGAACAATTATTCTTGCAAAGATTAAAGTTAAAGTTTGAACGGTAAAACATATCTGAGTTTAGCCCCCGTTTGGTTCCCATTATTTGTTCATTAAAATAAAAATATGATCGTCATCTATCACATCAAACCACCATATTTGACTTTCTATCTCTTGTGTGGGACCCGTAACGGCTATATTTTTCATTCTCATTTTTACATTAATGTATACCAAACGAGTAATGTTAAACGTGAGTTATCACTATTATTACAACATAATAAATTTACTTAGTTCAAGTCAAAGTTTCTATGGTAAAATATCTTGAGCGTATTGGTAAATATGAATTTTTCTTAAAGTTTAGCAAAATAATAAAGGAGACCGTACAAAATTTATAATAATAAGATTTTTCCATTTATGGTACAAATATTAAACAAAATACAAAAGAAACTTTAAATGTTTCGTTGCATGAATCAATACTTGAGTGCAACTATCACTTTTATTCTATCGGCGTTTTCTCTTTTTTGTTCTTCTAACGCATGAATTCCATTTTAGAACAAAAATGTATAAGCAATGCAAGTGCACTACTTCCGGTGCCATAAATGTCACAGATCAAGTACACTTTGCAATAAAATCGTCACGGCATTGCTAAATAGTACTGAAGGAAAATTCCAAGCAACGACACTCGTGCGTGTGTGCGTGCGTGCGTGTGAGAGAGAGAGAGAGAGAGAGAGAGAGAGAGAGAGTTCAAAGGTAAGGGAAAAAGTATGCAAAAGTGCTTCCATGGTTTCTCAAGTACCTACCTACGGGAGCCTGGTATTCTATTAATGCTGTTTAATTATAACAAATATGCTTATGGAGAAGTAGACTCAATCATAACCTTGTGTCCCAAGTTGAATCATGAGCAAAATATCAAATTATAAAACATATTTGATTATTCCATCATATTTTGGAAATCAGAGACCAAAGTTTACATCATCATTTCCATTTTAACTGTAGGGTATTCGTTCAACGATATGATGGATGCTATTTTTTAAGTACCCTGCAATATACATCACATGTACTCAAAAAGAAATTGTGCATCTACTTCTTCATTAAACAAGCAATGCATGTGAAAAGCCACCCATATGATTTACTTATGTGAGGCACCACTAAAAGGGGTTCTAATTACGCTATTGTAAGGGAATATTGGCTGTCGGATTCTATGAGTATGGAGTTAGTTAAGATCATCGATGTCAGGGTTGTTAAGAGAGAATAAAAACGGGGTAGGGTCTACAAGGGCATTCAGAAATTAGAAAAGATCTGAATCAATTGGAGAGGGGCAGCTCTCAAAACCTGCCTTCCTTACTGTTATTTCCATTTATTCAAATTTGTTGTTCTTAGAGTTTATGCAATACAGAATTCTTTCTTCCTTTACAATTTGTTTTCCTTTACAATTTTTGCTTTCTGGTGTTAAATTAATTGCTTTACTGATCCTTTCTCTATTGTTCCGGGAGCAGATTCTATCAGCTTATTTAGTGGACACATCAGAAGCGCACAAAGCATATCACAGGGGAAAAGGTAAGAAGAAGAAGAAGAAAATGGCAAGAATTAAAAGAAGAGACAGAGATAGATAAGAAGAATTAATAGTTTTTAAGAGTTTGTAAAAAAAAATAAAAAATAAATAAAAAATAAAATAAAATAAAATTGGGTTTTTAAGAGAGGAGAAAAGATAAGCTTATTCACTTTATTACTCAGATTTTTCCCCTTCCTTCAGTTTCATCTAGTTGTATAAAAAATTAGATCATATAGACTTACGACTTGCGTTGCCGTTGCCGTAGATTGCGATGCTTCTCGCCAGCATTTTGCGCAGCTGGACAACCTATTTGGCGCCTCTTCGTGATGCCACATGATATGACACTTTCAAAGCGTACCACATGATATGCCACATGATATGACTTTGTGTGCTAGTTCGCTTTCTTGTACCAGTTGCTTTCTCAGCACAGATTTCCTCATTAATAAAAGAAGAATAATCATTTGTAATACCTTATATATATAAAGTCCAAATCTAAAATTGAAGTCAAAATTGTCAAGCCAAAAAATTTGAAAAAAAAAAAATGGAAAAGCAAACAAAAGTGGAAGTAGTCAGGCGGTCGTTGACTATATTAAACCAAATCCATTTCATTTACATATCAATCCATTTACATATAAATCCATTTCACACAAATACATACACATAGGTAGGGAGAAGCCGAGAATAGAGAAAAAAAAAAAAAAAGGAAAGAAAAAAGGAAAAGGAAGGAAGGAAGGAAGGAAATGGAAGAGAAAAAGAAGGAAGATATAGGTTCCAATTTTACAAGGTTAGGTTCTCAATTTCTTAAATTTTTCCTTTAATTTAGAGAGGTAAACATAAGAATGTGAAATAATGTCCTTTAGGGTTTATGGTATTTATATTTAAAACTTTGAAGTTACCAAGAATTAGGTATTATTGATGTGTATTCGAGGTTTTCAACAAGAATATAGCAAGGAAATGTTTATTTGAAAATTGGAGTTGAAAAAAGTGGAATTTTGAAATGGATTTGTAAGATAAAGATATATTTTGAGTTTCTTGTAATTATATGATGCTAAAAATACTTAGATTAAGGATTTGAGATGGGAATTCTCCTTTCTTTGTAAAGCAATTTTTGAGCTACTGTAGTATTGGTGCTATTTGTTAAATTCTGCCAAGAAAAGTGCTATTTCTGTCAATATTTTCGGTGACAGATTTTAATATACAGACATTGGTGGTAGTTTTCAGTATTCTGGAATTATAGTGCTAGTTTTGTCAAACATCCAGTTTTCGTGAATTTTTAGTATTGGAACCAAATTAAGTGTTAAATAGTTGGGATTTTGTTGTTAAAATAATTCATATAAACGAGTATATGTTGTGAGCGACCTTAATTGAGATTATGAGCTTGAAAATAAAATATATCAAGCTCCTATTGGCAAATTAATATTTCTAGTGGTAGGAAATACTCAAAGCACCTTTGTGAGGGGATATGATTTACTAGAGCGAGTGTGTGATATTATACTTGAAGTTGAAGTGGTGACGAGAAGATTGAAATCATGATCGACCATGACTTGGTGACTGGAAAATTTAAATATTTTTAAAGTATTTATAAATTAAGTATATTAATAAAGAATGTGCAATTATGAGTTCGATTTTATGATTATTACAGAAATCTCTTTTATTATGACAGGTGTGAAATTTCAAAAATTACTTATGGTACATTTATGACTTAGTATGTGAGACAAATGTGATATAGAAATCGGTCAAAAAAGTACTCTTGATTGTATATTTCTTCTAGTTCACAGAGGGGCATTGGCCATGTTCTATCCTATACAGAGGGGTCTCGACCTGACATTGGTCATGATCGTGTACATATAGCTCGCAGAAGGACCTTGATCGTGTTCCAGAATTGATTATCAGAGGTCTTTAAGATCCACTTTCGTTCACGGAGGTAGCCAAAGATCCATGGCGAAAGTGTTTGGCCCAAGGGAAAGATTTCAGATTTTAGTCAGAGGATACAGTTTTGGTGGATTACATGTGATGTGATGAGATGATGATCTAGATATCAGCTGATAACTATATCGTGATTATGAAATGATATTTACAGTGTTATGAGAATGTCTCACTTTTTTTGCTATAATTGTATGAGTCAATCGTGTGAATATTAAACGATATGAATTTGATGTTTGGTAAAAATGTTTAAAGGAGAAAGTATAATTATTTTGAACTTTTTCACTCACTGAGCTGTCAACTCATATTTTTCTAAAATTATTCTTACAAGTAATATTGATCATTGATAGCTTGAAGAGCCTGGTGATTTAAGAGTTACAGACACATGACATATTGAGTGATATGATTCATTTTGGTAAAATATGAAGTAATTATTTCGGGTCCATTGCACTATATTTTTATAAACGTTTGATTTTGTTGCATATTTTGTAGTAACTCATAGTCAATCTTGGTAGTGAATTTGGCATCTAGTCAGCATCTACCATCAGTGCACGTCACATTTTGGATCCATAGGGACGTTCGGGACGGGTGGTGTCATCATTAGTTTCCTCCTCATTTACCGATAATTCTCGTGATTTATTTCCTAATATAACTTCAGCATCTTCAACCATAGCCTTCACACAATGCGTTCTATGGATTCCTTCTATAGGCTATTTAGCAGGTTTGCGATGGTGACTTTGGAGCTGTAAAACACAATCTTCCAGTTCTTCTTTTGTGTGTGACCCATCATGTTCCCAATCACGATACCTAGCGATATGAATTATTAATTTGATCTAATTAAAATCGATAAATTAAAACACCCTTCTAATTTATCACTTATTCACGTTCACTATCCTAGATTGACTTCTAACAATATTTCAGGGCAATACATGTGACAGAAATGTCACGTGGTATGATAAAATCAAACTTGTTCGTTTATCGTGAAGCTATAATCTTTTTATTAATATGATCCGATCAATTACGAGATATGAAAGTATGTCAAACCGGATTATCAATCATATCTTTTATTCCACTATTAAATTAATATAAGTTGAAAAATCCTTTTCGATTTCTGAGTATACCTTGGTCAAAGATTTTCTTATCGATTTAATTGAATGAAATGCAGATCATAATCACTTATTATTTAAGAGTGACAAATCCTCTATTGGTTATTTACAACCTTTATACAATTCTTGACATATCCGAGCGATGCTATATTAGCAGCCTTTGGCAGTGCAACATCCAACACAGTCAAAGCATGATTGTCCTCATATAAGGCTCTATGACAACCTCAAGTCAAATGACCAATACCACTACAGAATGTTAGAGATTAACCACTGATACTCAAATAGTTATCCATGTGGAATCTCTTAGCGGGTCTCCAATATTTTATTCTATAAAAAAACATCCACATCCTCATTCAAGTGTCACCACAATTTAACTTGTGAGATTAGCTACTTACTTCATAAATAAGAAATACCACACATAATTATATATCTTTAATAACGATATCTGTATCTCATTATTACTTATGATCATGGATTATTTAATATTCAATCACACATAATTTGTATCTCACAATCACAACTCCTTATGAATAACAAATTATTGAAACTTGAATCTACGGACACTATTATTTAATTCAATTGAATATTAATTAATTAAATAATAGATTTGTCATAAATCGAATCAACTATATATAACAAGTATTTATGTCCAAAGTTGATGTTTATGTCCAAAGTTGATTGGATCTAAGGCATAACATATACATGTTATTCTAAAAAAATCCTTGCCCAGTAGAAGTAGATTGAAAAAAACCCGAGAAGACGATATTTGAATTTAAACACATGAAAAAGATAAGAATCTGAAAACTATAAACAATTAACATATAAAATTCCAATTATCATATTTCTTTTTCCTTCTAGCCTCTCTTTCTAACCGTGCAATCCTCTCGAGAAATGCCTTGGCGATCGCACTTCTCCAAAGCCATCTCATCCAAGAACTCAGCCTCATGAAATCTCTTCCAATCCTCCATATTTTCCAAATCATTCATCCTAGTTATATCTCCAATCTCACTCAAGAGCCCCAAGGGCCGGGGTGGCGCCACAGGACCATCAATATATGCTACGGCCTTTCCCTTCCCAGTAGGGTTCGTGGTGCACTTCCCTGCAGCTTCCCTCTTGGAAGTGATTGATAATCCCAGCCGCTGATGCTTCTAGGGAGCAAACATCATTGAGCCCCCATTTGGCCACCATATTTTGAAATGAAAATTGGTGAAATAATGTTTTTATTAAATGAAAAAAAAAACTCGATTTATATATAATATATCTATATTAAAAGATGGAGTTTGTAATGACACTGTTTCTATGGAAGTGTGCCCATCTCTTTTTCTCTTTTTTCTTTTTTTTGCTTCTCTGGCTTTTCAATACTCTTTCTCTTAGCCAAAATCTATCCCACACACCTCCTTTCACTCCCATTTGCTGTTGAACCTATCGCAAATCCACTAGCCTAATGCGAACCCGTTCAAAAATCCGAATCCCAGTTGACGATTTAATTCTCTACCCATCATCACAGTGACCATCACTGTCACCATCACCATCTTATGCTTTCACATCTTTCGTTGTAGCCAACAATTATTCCCCTCCTCATTCATCCACTGATTACTCCTCATCTTCTTACCAACATAACTTTACATCTTATACTTACTTTTCCCAAAATCCTGATCCTCTTCCCACAACGCATCTTTCAACAACCTCAACTCTCTTATTCTTTTTTCCAGATAGAAGTCCATGGACAATCCCAAACCCCGCTACCACAGCAACCGCAATAGTAGATGTATTACTCAGCTTATGATCAAACTACGAGCAATTATTCTCCAAACCCTATACTTGTTGGACCCAATACATAATAAACTTTACTGTATACCTGTCAAATTAATCTTTCTAATCCACTTGTTTATGAAAGTCCTTAAGACCATCCTGTCAAATACGATCATCCCAGTAGTTATTTTAATGGGAATTACGGTCCGAACGGGTCTGGATTTGGTTCTGACTTGTATGAGAAACGACCCGAGAGTGGCTACGATCGATATGGAAAGAATGATGGGGGTTATGGGAATAATGAAGGGTTTATGCTAACAAATGAAGCTCAAAGCAGCATGAGGCTCGGGAAACAGCTCCTAAGCTGTCAACTTTGTCAGGTTTTGATGACTTCAGCCAACGGATTGGGCATTTTTCTCCATCAAGGGATGAGTGTTCAACAAATGCAGGGTTGAAGGTTGTACAAAGTTAAGTTATTAGCATAAAGTACTGCCCAAACCACCCTGGACATTCTTAATTAGGTGTTTTGTGCCCGGGGCACTTTTCCACTGGCAAAGGACGAGTTCTTTCAAAACTGGCGGATCAAAGGTCGTGGGTTCGATTCTTGGGGTTTTTGGAAGGTAAGGCAGATACTGGAAGACAGGATTTATCCTGGAAGACAGGAGTATCTTGGAAGGCAAAGCGCAACATGAATTGGCTCACTAGGCACTTTGACAGTCCAGTTTGGAGAGGTGCTCGGACCCTAATCAGTTGGAGGCACATCCCGCGGTTTAACTGGTCTGTGTGAAGATGGACCGAATCACAGACCCAAGAAATAGTCGTCGAAGGCAGACACCTTGATAAAAAAAAAAAAAAAATAGGTGTTTTGTTGCAATTGTAATTTTACCTTAGTTATTTATTTTTTTCCTTTAGGGGATGAGTGGTCAACAAGTGCAGGGTTGAAGGTTATACAGATTTAAGGTATTAGCATAAAGTACTGTCCATACCACTCTGGATGTTCTTAATTCGGTGTTATGTTGCAATTGTAATTTTTACCCTAGCTGTTTATTATCAACGAACATCTTTTGTATTGTGTTCATAAATTGGTATGGCTTTTTGGACAGCTTTAAAATTTTTGGACTAGATGAAGACAGGGTCGGTCCTGTGATTGTTGGGGCCCGAGGCAAAGTTCAAAAATTAGGCCCCCAAAATTAACATAAATGCAAAATTCAATGATGTGCTATACAACATATTGCTAATTTAAAACTCAACATTAAAACAACAAACAAATACCCCAATAATCTCAAAATTAATAAAAAAACTATTTTCCTTTTCCTTCTTTTAATGTGAAAAAAAATAATAATAATTCCGCCCCTATGGTTTTGGGCCTGAGTCACAGGCCTCATTTGCCTGTGCCCAGTACCGACCTTGGATGAAGAATGCAGACTTGAGTTATTCCAAATGTGCAAACCATTATGAATGTGTTAACATCGTCAGGTCTAATGTGTTCTATCGCGTAATCGTATTTTGCCACCGAATAGTTCATTGGCTACTGCTTTGCCCATGTTGTCTTTTTTCCCTCAATTATACATCTTATACTTCATTTGGGTTTAGCTCTTTACTTTACAATTTTTGCTATGTCTTTATTAATGTTGTTACGATGATATTACCAATTTGCATCAATTGATATTCTCTAGTAATTCTTTTTCACGTGCTTGTTGACTTCTTTGTAGAGCCAAAAGGTTTCAATAAAAGTATATGCATTTAAAACTACTTGAATACCTAATGTTTTTCTATTGCTAGGTTATGGTGTCGTCAAATTATTTTTCTTTGTCGTGGTACTATGAGATATTAGATATTAAAAAGTAAAAAGATATTGTATTTTCATGTTTGGGCTTAGAATGATGCAAGGTCTATGTAACTAAGTAAATTTACAATTCGATGCACATGAATAGAAACCTTTCCATGCAAGTACAAATATAGTGTTTGATCATGATTTGGAAATGCTTTTTGTTGATTGTTCTGTGTTGGCCTTTTTGCCATTGCAAGTATTAACTTTTTGTCCATTTCCTTTTCTTGGGAAGAATAACCGTAAAAGATACACTACAGTCACATGTTCGTTCAAAATTGTTGATCCATATATTTTAGTATTAAGTTTTAGCTAATAAAAGCATCATAATTTATAAAAGGGTAATTGGCACAAAACGACCCTACCTTTCAAGTTTATTGTTGAAAAGATCCCTACCTTTCATTTTTTGACATTTTTGCCCCTACCTTCCACATTTCTTTGCATAGAAGGTCCTTTTGACGATTTTACCCTCCATTGAAATGAAACAAAAAGAAAATAAAATAA